GGTCTTTTGGGGAACCTTAAGGAGTATGAACCACTTGTTTTGTCACCGGATCCCGGACAGTTTGCGACTCTCTGAAATAATTATGCTGCCTTGTAGGTTAGATCACCGATCAAGGCTCTGGGTAGGGCCACTTAAAACGACACCTTTGATTTGGGGCAACCGGGTAGTATCATGCCCACTGACGAACCATGGATGGATTCTTCTGCTACTACTATTGCTCTTGCTTTGTCTACTGGCTCTGCTGTCTCCAATGCTCAACCTTCACTCACAGACCGTCCCACCACGATCAGGTCTGATGAGAATTTATCGAAAAGAATCCTTTACCTGAACTGATTCCTGATCTTTTCTTAGTTGCCATTAAGGATCTAAAGGTGTCACTCTCCGCAAACCACCTTATGCATTGGCAGACAATCAAGGGATTGGACAACTAAGATGTCGTTCGGCACGACCTCTTTGAGTTCTGCAGTCAGTAAGAGAGAAAGGTGTTGCTATTTAATGTGGACAAGTGCCGCGTCGCCCACGTTCACCATTGACACACCTACATATATCATTTTGAAGCGCAAGATCTGCAGATACGCTCTCAGAAAGGTGACCTTAGTGGGCTGATTCAAGACCAAATCGGCTGTTCCGGGCAGCCAAAATCCACTTCCTAAAGGAATAACCAACATGTTGATCTCTTGCGGAGTACACTCGAGAGTTTTGACTCTACCGTCCTCTGATTCTTAACGCGTACGCACCTCGAAAACGCTATTCATAAATTGAAATCTTGGCTAAAACGTGATCTTGCTGCGCTCGATACCCCACAAGGTCCAACAAAGAAAAATGTCAGGAGTTTGCGTAACCTTCCGTAGCAAGAACGACTGAAGACACTCGGAGTGCTCAGTGGACGCCTTGGGGTCTATGTGGAGACCTCATATTGGCACACCTACTAGTAAAAGTACCCATTGCGTAGGTCGCCACTCGTTAAAATGCAACCCAAACGCCAAACTCAGTGACTATGTCTTGGAAACCAGAAAACGAGATAACCGTTTCGATTTTTAATGAACTTCCTACTCCTTCCGTGTGTACCAGCCTTGGAAAGCCCCTGCAAATGCATTTGTCTGTTCCCCTAACAGCCATTTTCACTATTCCTGAATATCGCACTGAGCTCCCTGCATGTTATTACCTGAACGGATAGTTTGGATGTATTCAGACTAACTAGCTTCTGTATAATTATAGTCCACGGTGAAGTACGTAAATCTGTGCCGACGAGTGAACAATCCGATTGTTATTTGCCCTTAGCATTAAACATAATAACTTGCTAATCCGTTTTACATGGTACAATCTCTCCCCACAAGTCTATTATTTTTACACGATTGCTCTATATATTAATTGCTGCGCATTTATTTTATGCACTTATGTGGTATTCGATTATTCAATTCCTTCCAATGACAACTTATGGGACGCGTAAATTTGGTGCGTTTTCCACGTCACAAACCATTGTTCCATTGTTCCCGGCAACCTTTTAAGTTCCGGTAATTCTTGACCAACCTCACAGCAATACTTGTAGTGTACGCTGTAATGCACTAATTTTTGCGTACGGAATTCACTGGCTGACACACTGGAAAACTGATAAAATGTTTGCACTCGCAGATGAGATACTTTTGCCGTCTAGCGCCCTGCAGTTTAAGTGCAGAGTTTCTCTCAAACGACATGTCTATTTTCCACCTTCTTAACCGAAGTTTAGTAGAAACTAGCAGTTAGGCAACTCCAATTACGCGGTCGCTGTGAAAATTAAAAATAACTACATATGCATGTTTAATCCCGTTACATCGAGTATGCGTTTGTGGGATTGAAGGATTCTGTTGTTCCGCGGTTCAGAACCTATCACAGGAATCCGCCATACACATAGATGTACCACGCGACACTCACTTCTCCTATCTGTGTGTAGGAAGGCCTTGATAACTCCTTTCCTTCTAGTCGGGTGAGTAGAAAGTCGGATGCATGTTAATTATTTTTCATTTAAAAAGCTGTCCAAGCTGCGCTGTCATGAGAGGTCATTGTGACCGTGTCATTATTTCTACCCTGGACCAAGCGAGTAGATATCTGTAAATTGAGGTTAACCGTTTTACAATCGTCTACGTTTCTGTAAGGTTGCGGTAGCAATACAGTGACCAGACTGAAGGGCATTTGAACCATGGAGGAAAGCAGTCGTTGTTTAAGTGAATTATGATGGTTGCGGGGAGTATGAATGTGTACTGAATACCCAAATATGAAGCATCGTAGACAAACCAGCCTAGTAGAGGCTCATGTTCCTCATCTTCTTTTTGTCCAATATAAGACTGCTCAATATCATACTACCGTGTCAGTAAAAATCTGTTACGCCCAGATCAGTGGCAAGTCTTCACAAGTAATTGTGCGCATCATCGCACCGTTTTCATCGAGAACATGATTTCTGTCTGTGGGACAACCATCATCATTTTTCACACCGTTGGAAAGGTGAAAACTTCTTTGTTGGTAAAAGATGACAAGACATTAGCAAATACCAGCATTTACTCATAGCTATTCTCTTAAATTCTACTTAGAACATTGTGGTACGACCAAAATGCAGTCGTTTAGCTACGCGTAGAAAACGATCCAAAATTATCCTAAACCTACAGTGCTCAATCGGTTGCGGTTTTTGGCCGACAACAATCAGCGCCTGATTGGCGCTCAAAACAGCCAACGATCAAGGAACTGTCGATGTCGGTAGCAAAAGTACACCTGAGAGGGATTACACGGACTGGTTAAGAGCTGCCCGATTGTACGTGGTTGATGAGTTTGCACGAAATGATAATGTCATCCCACAATCTTCGTCCTGTGATATTCTTATTTGGATTTAATATACCATGAGACCCTTATGATGATTGCGAACGTGCTTTGCAGGATGACGAGATGCATGCCTGTGTATGTATGTGTGTGTGGGCAAGAAAGCGCAAAATCTGACGTCGGGCGATATATGCAAAAACACCCGAGCACACAACGAACATGGTGCTGCGTCACAAGTCTGAGGAGCCGCAAAGCGCAGTGGAGACGAGTCAGAAGCTTTTCACATATATTGCAAAGCCACAACAGCTCACTGTTGTATCAAGAAAGCCGTAGGAAAGGTAAAATGTATCTCGCAAAATTAACCAAGTACAACTGAGTCAATCCCTTGTTAAACGGAGAGTCAAGCGACAGACGCACACAACCAATAGGAATGAGTCAGCAAGCCAACCAATGAGATCGAGCCAATCGATGTTGCTGACATGGTTACCACACTCACATGTATCCGTACATTGACGTCACCCCGAGCAAGACAGTAGATTTCCATTACAGCTATTTATATTCATAACTAATTGACCTCTTTACTAAATCATCCACTATGGTTAGTTGGAGCGGAGCACTTTCCATGTTTTATTGAAAGCTGAGCGTATACTTTATTTCCTCTGAAAATAACTAGTAGACCCGCCCAAAACAAAGGAGAAATGTTTACCCGCACGATAGATCACACTTTTGACCAAAATTGTTGTGCCTTGGTCATTTGATTAACAAATATCACCAGCAGTTGAATCCAGCCACTTAGATCGTACGTATACTCTACGCATATGTCTTCACGGTAGACATATGGTTGGTAAGACTTCATGTTATCATCGTCCAACTTAGCGGTTTTGAATCGCGTACTTAATTTGGATGACCTATAGAAGTGGATTCCCGGACAAAGTGAATACGGTTTATGCAAAACAGGGTCATGGTAAACCAGTCGGAGTCTAGAAACCGCCTAGTGCATACCCTGGTGTAATCTAGTGAAGATCTACAGAAAGCTGCTTAAAACATTCCTTGCCCGTCTGACCGGATAAGCGGCAGACTTTGCCTGATGGGGCTTTCCAACACCCGTCCGTTTGACAGCCAAAATTTGTAACCCCATTTAAGAGCAATGGCAACGTTCTATGTGCGAATGAGAACACGATTACATTTTGCATTTCGTGCGTCCCGGAGGAAGGGGCTATGTAATATGGACACTACAAGCGGGATGTTCAGCGCAGAGCAAGAAACAACTGTTTTTGTCCAGCGTGCCTTCGCATAGACCTACAAGCCTAATGAATCATTAACCTGTAGCCCAATTCTTCATATTAACCCGGTGCAGTTGTTAACGAAACAACAGAATTATGTTTGGAGTGATTCTGTAACTAGCTGTGACATAAAAGCAAACACTGGTTGCCAAAGTAGTTCAGGTGGTGGTCCGAGTGTTCACTGTGCTCAGCAGTTTGACAGAAAACGTTCCGTCACCACTCAGCAGGAGATCGTCAGTGCTCTATTATGTCGCGGAGCGGCGCAATGCGAAGCATCAGTGTGTGCGTGCGTGTGTGTGATCGATCTTTTAGACGAATCAGCCGTCAGCTGCTGTTTGGACTGTTCGACGGATACACGACCATCGAAAACAATCTCTCTGATTGGTAGTCCGTAAGGTTAGCACATATACCTCTACGGTTGACGTCGTTGTTTAAGGTGTTTGTCTGGCATTCAGCTCCGTTAGATTTAGTTGACTAAGTCGGTGATCTTTCATCCGTAGGGTTGCATGTATAGCATCTAGCCCAATGCGTTGATTGACTGAATTGCCCGTAGAATACCATGTGTCCAAACCTAATAGTTGAAGGACTCCTCACCGAGAGATGGCAAGGCAAGTTCCAAAAGAACCTTGATGGAAGCATACATCCTGTGGAGTTCTACACTATGTAACGGAAAAGTGGCAGAACGTGCGCGTGGGATAAATTGGGAACGCTGTGCATAAATTATGCTAAGCTACACGATATAGTGAGTACCAACGCTCGGGACTCCAATGTACGGATGCAACAACGCGAGGTAAATGTCCTAATATGCATTGTGGAACGAATTGATTGCCCCAGCCGTCAGTTGTCATTGGCGTCTAAATGACCAGTTCTTTTTATTCGGACTTGCAGTGCAGCCCTGAGTGTAGTAATGCAAACCAAATAAAGACTTACATAGTGAGTTGTTTGTTCCGAAGTAAAAGTCACATCTGTCAAATCAGCCATGATATGGGAAGGTTCGTTTAACGTCAGCTCTGTCGCCTTAAACTGGGAAGGTGTAAAGAAAAGAAACACATGCATTTGGGCATTAACTTGAGTAGTTGCGAACTCAGGCATAGATACAAAAAGTGCATAGATCCTTGGGTTAGATATCCTTGAGATACATGCTTCATTCTAACCAGAATACTTTCTAATTAGTGAAACCGGCTTATCTAAAGAATGGGATTGTGACTGGATTTACGTTTCATTTACCATTTTGCTACTTTGAATGACATGCAAATCACACGCGTGTAAACTTTTTGTGTAGTTCGAAGGAATGACACTGGAGCTATCAGAAATGTTTGCAAGCGGTCTGCATACCTTTTACATAACTCCAGTTATTCCAGAAGAATACTGGACTATGCATAGGAATAGTTCCGTTGCTGGCGACGGTGTCGTTGATCAACAGGAATATCAGTCCATTCTACTTAATGTGGGACACTAGTTAATTCCTGTCTTCCGGGTCGAAGGAAAAAAAGCGTTTCAGCGTTGGAGAGAATCACAACGCTGTTTGTTACATTTCCACCGGACTGGAAACGTTTGTCTCAAGTGCATCACCTGCCATCTACCGCGCTGGAGGGACAGACACTTGCCCAGATATTAGAAGTAGGTGAGAATTGTGCAACTGCTTCGGATCGCGTGGTCTTTTAGCGAGTTGTTGTCGCGCGGTTGGTAACATGAAGGTAGGTATCACGGGCCTGGGGATTAATACGCCATCGCAACTTCTGAATCATACAGCGTCATGTAAACCATGACTTGTGCCGCAGGATTCCTTTACCTAATTGAATGAGGGATTGATATGACAGCCATCTGAAGGACGATATCGACTCACAGTTGTTAGGGGGATACTTGTTGAACATACAATTTTTGGAAAAACATACTCTGCTACCGACTTGTTTGCTTCCGCTATCGCGTTACTGATCTTTGTTTAAACACATCAATCCGCTACTTTCATTGGCTGCTTGTGGTCATTGCTTTTGCTCTGGAATCGCCGTCCCACTTGGCAGCGAACGCTCTCCCTTTTCATTCGTTGCGTGTCCCTTATTGGTTCTTTTATCAATCCGTTTTCATTGGCTTCGTTCTGCTTGCGTGCTTTCCGCAATATGGTTGGCTTGAATGTCCTTTATTAGTTTCCCTTTAGCCTATTCACAAAACTATTTATGCTGGCATGATTCAATGCATACAATTCTTTCCCAGCTGGTCTTTGGATTTCTTATTGCGGTCATGGGGTGAAGACGTCGGCTGCGACACAACATCCTTAATCCGCCTGTCCTATTTGATCCGGAAATACGGTATTTGTATCCATACTTATATTGTTGCAAGAAACGTCCGTCGCAGCTCGGATGGAATTCCAGTGTCGCCCAGTAAAACTTGCAGGTAATGTGGAGTATTCAAACAGTGGCCTAGTGTTATGAGAAAGTCGAATACCGGATTGCAGTAGGATATCGCACGCGAATCGGCATAAATTCCTTAGGACAATCAAACATTGATCCAGAGTAGGACAATGAGGTGTGGTCCATCTGACGTATTATCCCTTTCGGACGAATCGAAGCAGGTGAGATGTTGACAACTAGCACCTTAATCAGTAAAAATTGGGAATGATGACGATAACCGCGGAACACCGTCATGAGGCGTCATCATGTCCTCTGTTAGCAATGGTGCCAACCTCATACGTATCGCACGCGTGCGCGTAGGGAACACCTACAAAAAGTGAACAGCAAATAAACGCAAACCCTACTTGCCGCAGAATGGGTTTTAGCGACATCTGTCCTTCAGTTCACCACTATTGTAAGCCTCAGACCTACTGGTAACATAGGCTTATATTTCATGTACGGATAAACTTCGGCAATTTGCCGCTATTTTTTACTGGGCGCTGATTAGACACTTCACTCCTATATACTACACATCAGACGTACGTCAGCGCATGTACGAGCAGTTTGTAGTTTTAAATTCACAGAATAACCCGGCTGGCTAATCCCATTATCATTTTCCTGAGATAATTCTGTGTGAGGTATATAAAAGGTTGTGTTAGCTCAGTATGTGGCGGATGCAAGGTAAATGAGTACCACGTCTTTACCAATCATTATTCGATAAAGGCTGAGTGACAAGCAAAGTAACATCTATAAATACAGCAGGTGAACTCCACACATTCTTTATCCGGATACTTTTTCTATACCATTAGGGCCTCCGACACACTTTATCATGTCCAAGTGGTGCCTTGCAGCAAGTGAAAAATGGGAATATGTTGCAACACATGGGACACCTTTTATAGTGACAGAGTACACGCTGGTTTCTGCGCTCAAGTTTAGATACCGTTCAAAAACGAGCAAACGGTGACTGTAGGTGAGGTCGGGGAGGTGATTCTGAAGGCTGTTGAACGGCACTGCACAGGATAGTTTACTTGTGCTCAGCAATCACTGTACTTAACATTATGAAACTGTGAAGCAATCGAACATGGACGGAATCGTTTAGGCAAATCGTTACAACTGATTCCTGTTTCTTTTGCTCTTACAGAACCGAACAAATAATGCATATCGAGGTCGACGATTCTTTACTAGACTTGTCCGAACCCGTTACACTTTGTGTATACAAACTGTGTGTACACTTTTGTGTTACCCCGCGGCTTTATGAAAGTTTTCGTATTCCACTCACTCTTTCCGTTTTCCCCTCAGCGGAGCATTGTCACTGCGTGATTGTGCCGATTTATCGGAGGTGTTAACACATTCGCTAACTTGTTCAGTTTAGCACTTGTATGTCCACCATGTGATTTATTTTCTCCAAGCATATCTGTCTATGTCTCAAACCTGCTCCAACTGATACATTACGAAACCGCGAAAAGTTAAGTAACCAGAAGAAACCTGTACAATTACGACTTTGACGAAGGATTCCAGGATGGTTGTCTTCCTTTGAATGACAAGCCACCTTGACAGCCCAGTAAGAGAATTTGTGAATCCGGTGACCAGCCTCACCGTCAACATACCAGAGAGGGTGGGTAATATTATACTGTTTATGGAGTGGTTAAGGGATGTTGAGTCACAGTGGAAGGAAGCTCATCTCGGCTACACCCATACAGACCACACTCAAGCACTGAAAATGCGCTCGGTGGGCGCTCCTTCTACCTGGATTCCTCAGTAAAGGACACACGGTAAACCATTTGAGAGGCTAAAACCAGTGACACTTCTCTCTGGTCAGTTAGTAAGACTGCTAAGTCAAGGAATTCCTATTGAAAATACGCCTAACTGCAATGAGAAGTCCTGATTTCAACGTGTTACTTGAAGTATTGGATGCCAATTTATAGCTTTTGAGTTGTCCTACACAGACAAGGCTGATGCCGGATGCCCATTTCTTCTCCAGTGGTTATTAACTGGAAGACAAGAATGATCTGTGGAAATGCTTTCTCGTTCGATGGCCGTACCTAGCGAAGGCTTGCGCACAGCCTGAGAGCAGGGGAGTGAATTGGTAGGGCGAGCAAGTATTGGTCATACCAGCAACCAGTTTTGAGAAATGCTTTTAGTTAATCAGCAGAGCAGGACAGCGTCAGATGTGATGGTTAAGACACGGATGATTGCGAGGCGAAGGAGAGGCTTGCGTCTAGACTAGGCAACTAACGGTTTTCAGTAAATTATATTTATGCCATCCGCGACTTGGCTGTTGGTTCTCCTCTCGAATACGGCGCATCCGGTGTAGATCACACAAGAGCAATGTTACACTACTTTTCAGTACTATCTCCTTCCCTTGAGATTTCATAGCTTGAAACCAAAATCCTACCCTCTGGAAACCACAGCCGCGGTGTCATTATACATGAACCGTACGGGTAATCGTCACTGAGGCGTAATTCAGTGAGCATTCCTTCTTTCCCGCCGTCTAACCGAATGCTTTCCCCTCAAGCGCGCAATCGACTCTGTCTATAATTGTTTAAATCATCTGCACGATTTTGGGAAGGTTGTGGTGAAATTTAGGGGCTGAACAGCCGCAATACGGACGCCGTTGTCACTTTTGAAATAAGGAACAGAATATCGACTAATTATCTCAATATGTATGAAGTCAACGTGAGATAGAGTATGTTTTAGATCAGGGTTCTTTTGGCTGCATCTGTCTTTCCTGTAGTAGTGGGTACTGTCCTCGCAAATGGATATTTTCATCAACATGTCCGTTACTCACTTACATGAGGCTAGATTAAGCTGGCGACCCGTTTGTTTGATAGATTTTAACTAGACAGACACTGGCAATCGATTTCTTGACTTAAGTTATACCAGCTAGCGGAACGCCATGCGACTGATCGTCCCGAGCTGCACTCAATGCGGAGACGTATTGACCAGTATCCAACCAACAAACCAACTGGCAAAGCCTTATATCGGGACTAGTTCAAACTGCGCTGATTAGACTCGTTATCTGGAATTGCGTTATCGCTGTGAAAATTGGCCTCAGTTAGGATTGGGACCTAATGATATTTCCAAATTCCGCAACTGGATGCAGAATTGTAAACCATCCAACCTGCTAATAACTCAATCCAAAATTTCTCCCTAAAAATTGTACTGAAGGGAAGGCAAGCCCACGATATCGGTCCAATAATGAATGGCCAATGTTCGGACAGTGTGCCCTTGGGAGCTAATTGGGAGCCTTTGGGAGTTATGGAAAGTTGTCTCAGACGATTTTCCTGTACACCCTAACTAAGCTAGTCGATTGATTTCCACAATTGCTTTACCTTGTGAAGTGCAGAGCGCATCTTTTCACTTGCTACTCTATAATAAGGATCCTCAAACGGGTGTCACTAGAGAGAATTTTTACTCCCTTTGAACAAAGATTATTTGAACTTACACTTACTAGAAAAACTATTCCATTATAACAAGGAGTAAATAAAATACGAGCTAGTTTGCAATTTGAAGTGTCCCTTGGCATCTCGATAGTGACAGAGAAGCCAATGAAGGACTTGCTTATTATCATCCCTTGGAAAAACGATCAAAAGGCGGCTACATGAACGTTACGCAGCAAAACTCCTCTAGATTTTAGAGATAAGGACTGCATGTGCTTGAGCAATAAGTTATCATTAGCGGCAGATTTAAACAAGCCTACCGGAATAACACAAAAATACAGAAATAGTAAAAGGCCGTAGAAGTGATGTGCTCAGAATATCCGTTCACATGTCACTCGTTCGCGTATTAAAATGGAATATAGTGTGAGACGCGACATGACGGTTTGACTCACTTCAGATCCATCTAACAAAGATTTGGTGGTGCTATCTGTCCCCGGCAGTTGTGCAGAATTTTCTGTGACCTGACTCTTGACAAGAACTGAAAACAGACACAGAAATAATATAAGATCCCTGGCCGGTGCATTCTTTCCTGAGCTTCCACAAACCGAGGACACAAGCATGGGGGCACAGCTAACCGTACTACCGCAGTAAATCCGAAGAGGCGACTTTCAATAATTTCCAATGTCTACACTTCGGGAGATAGACGATCGCTATACGTAAGTCACTAGAAATTTCCTAATGCAACAGATAGTGCACAGTGTTCTCAGTGCAAGAAAGTCTGGATCACACCGGAACTCGGTTCACTTGGGAATTCGTTTCGCACGAACTGTGCACCTTCATAGGTGTTCATCATCCGCGAGCGGTTGCATGTCTATCCACGCTCCTCTGTGCCCATGACAAACAGTGGGTACAAAATTTGGCTGGGACAGCGTCATGGTTAGTTAGGGAATCACATACTACCGTCGTGGTAGGACAGCCTACCTGGTTGAAAGCTTCAGTTGACATTCAACCGCCATTTACTGGCTTCTGCTGGGTGCCCAAAACACTGCCGCTATGTGTACATGGCAAGCCCCAGTGCTTATTTTGCAGACCATGTGGTTCGTCTCCAGTAAGTCTAATGGTAGATCGATGTTGGGTGAAGACGTTCATCCAGTGACCTTGTCCGGAAAAGGAAGCTTAAGTGGATTACTATATTGTATAATTTACTCTTCCAGCATCTTAGAGGAGACAGTGTTTCTCACACCTGTCGGTCTAAAACGTTAGGCAAACAGAATTATAAATTGTTTATACTTGCAGAGAGATTAGTGTAATAAACAGAAGCTGTCCCCTTGTGGAATTTAAACTCGTATTCTGATTTTCTTGATATACACCTCAAAAGTGGTAGAAAGTTCTACCAAGTAAAATGGAACCCGGCAAAAATGCAAAAAGAGAAGTTTGTCTAGTAACGATTTCAATTTCATGCTCTAAGTATTCATAATTTTTGAATAACTCGTTTTGACAACACCAACAAGATTGAATTAAATATTAAAAACTTCCAGGGCTGATTTGGAAAGCACCCTGGTTAATAGTGGGACGATAGAGTGTTACGGACAAAACAAGCATGAGCAAAGTAGCCCTTGCCAAAGTTGTTGGAAAGCTTTTTGCATGAAAGTGTGTGTCGGATAACTCAATTACTGCACAGGTACTCGTAGTGATATTCTCAACAGTCTAGCAACTAGACATAGAGCCAACAAATCCATGGAGATTAGCAGGTATGAGGAAGTCACCGTGTCATAACCATCGTAGCATATTAGTTAAAGGTGAGCAACACACTTCAGCTACTATGTCGAGGAAGAAATGAACATTTGGATATAAATTCGAACAAAACATTTTTGGTTTGTTTTGCACGCACCAATTTTGCTCTTTTTTTGTCATTTTCCATGTTTGTAGTATTAAACTTGTGAATCAATACAATTCTGTACATCAGTCTTCCACTGGTTCCGGTTGCTGGCCATATCTTCCAGAGTGTTTAGCCTTTGGCGCTCCTCATCTTTGGGTCCCCTTCCTGGAAGACGTACGGGTCCCACAGCGGCTAGGCACGACGTAAGCGATTTCATGTGCTGTTACCAGGTCCTTGACAAACAAATAGAGCGTGACGCGGTAGATGCTGAGGTGCCATGCGTAGGACGTGACCGAACCACCTCAACTGGCGCAGCAAAACCAGTTTGTTGAAGGGAATACTTGCATTCTTCAAGCTGTGACATCCAACCTCATCACAGTGAACACGATGTTTCCACCAAACATGAGCAATCTACCTTCAGCAACCGTTATTGAACGCAGAAAGATGACGCATGTTTTCCACGCTAATCGGCCAGGACACGCTCCCATACAACAACCCTAAACAAACAGATGCGTTATAATCGCGGTCCTATAGCCAGAATGAGACGTCGCGACGACGCCACAAGTGCTTCAGGTTGGCAACTGCTGATCGGGCTTTAGCGACGCGAAGGGAAATTTCCCTGCTGATAGTGTCGTCAGCAGAAACACAGCTCCAGTGGCAGACGCAACTCTCTACCTGTACAAGTTGTGCACCTTCGAGGGTGAACACGGAGGCAGGTGTAAGCTAATCATGGTGCAGTACTTTACATTTCGATGGGGCGAAGCCCATACCATACTTAGATACTTCAACCGCCAAACGAACCAGTTACTTACCCTGTGGATCGTCAGCGAGTAAGGTGAAATCATTAGCATAATCTGAGTTGGTCGCGCGCTCACTCCGTAGAAGCTCTAGGACAAAATGTTGAAAAACTCTAGAGCACTCGACAGAACGTCTTCGATTGCGAAGTTGAAGAGGAATGGGGACATAGGGCAGCCGTGTCGCACACTGCTATCTAAAGCGAATTGCCAGGAAGGCATGCCATAGACCCTCACCCTGCCGGATGTGTGAAGGCAAAGTGCGCGTACAATGGCGGTATATTTTTTGGCACCCCTTTCTTTAGCAATTATCGCCATAAAGCAGGTCGGTCAACCGAGGCAAACGTAGCATGTATGTCTAGGAATTCAACGATAGCGGGCAGTTGATAAATGTGGTGTTGTTCGAGGAGTTGGCGCCGCGTAAAGATTTAATGGAGGCTTCCGCGGCCGGAAAGAAAACGAGCTTGTTCTTCACGGTAGGATGATTCACGCATTGGGGATAGTCTATGAAGCAGAATGGATGCCAATAGCTTGGATGCAACCAAAATATGACTAATCCTGAGATGATTCACACATGAAGTGCGAACGTCTTTCTTGAATATCGGGACAATAGCTGATTCGGTCCGAGAGGAAAGCACTTTTACTTCATGCCATAATTATGCGAACAGCTAGGTCAGTTGGTTACTGAGCGCCAAGCCGCCGTATCTGAACAGCTGCGCAGGAAGTCCGTCTGAGCCAGCAGCCAGGAATGGCTTCGAGCGTCGACTCTCGAGGAATAATTGCGCTTCACTTGGTACATTCCGTGGGACGAGCCAAGGTAGACAAGCAGGCGTACTGCATGCACTGATGGAGGGTGGAGGCCAGTTGAAGTGCGAGTTAAAGTGCTCAGCCCAGCGGTCTATACGCCACTGTAGGCTGGTGATTGGAGATTCATCCACCTCGCAAATAATCTCACTGACACCAAGCTTCATGAGATCACTGGACCGAATGAGTTGGGAAAGTTTGCAAGCATTGCAAGACAGGGTAGTGGTCTCCATCTTTAAAACAGGCTCAGACCCCTATGCCTCGTGACATTTGCGTAGGCTTTGTTTGAGCAGTCGGCTGGCAGAACGGCGCCACTCGTTGCAATCTGATTCCGCCGGGATATCTTTGCGGCGTTCGAATAGCTTCAGAGGAAGAGCAGAGATCCAAGCCATTACAAGGCGTCGAGCTAGGCCACAGGTTGATTGTCCGGAACTGGTCCTCGCTTTCTGTGTACAAGTCCAATTTTGCTCTATGTCTTGCGGTGGATTGCAACTGAGTGCGTTTACCAGCAAAGACTGATAGCTTGTCTGGATAGAGGAATCGGTTCATCTATTTACATAAATCTTGCGGTGCTTCGTGTTTCGGGACCCCCACAACACATGCTGATTTTCGCTCAGACCAATGCATGACCTGAGTCAACGAAGGTGGACCAAAAAACCCGTAGTCCAGTAGGCTGCCGCGCCAACTGAAGCCAGTTGCAATGTGATCAATTTGAAACCACTGTTGCGTTGCCGAAGGGGGACGCCACGTTGCGGAACGCTTCTCCGTACGCTTGAACTTAGTGCTCGAGAGAAACAGACGGTTGTCTTCGCACAATGTCAGACGCTTCTCTCCGTTCTTAGAGCGGTTCTCATTGAGCGCGTTGTGACCACCAAGGTGGCGTTCGTATGGTAACAGGCGGCCAACCCGTGCATTAACATCTCCAGAAAGGACAACAATGTCCGAATTTTAGCATTAGTCAGGAGCTGATGTAGATCCCGGGAAAAGTCATTCTTGACCAAGCCATTACTGTAGTTATTTGGAGCTTGCGCGATAATCCCAAAATCTTGCGTCTTTCCTCGCGACGCTTGTGTGTTCCACATGAACAACAAAGCCGAACTGGAAACAGTCGGCTGTTAATTTGAAACCAGTCCAGTAGTGCCGCGTCGGCTTTGCCACTTAGTGCTATGCCTACACCAACTAAACACGCTGTGACTGCATCTGGATCTCCAGAAAGACACAGGGGATATCTGGCTTCGGGGCCAGTGGGGAATGTCAATGTAAGTACAGTGCTGGGATCTTGTAATCGGGTTTCTAAAAGATAGCAGACGTCGCTATCGAGGGACCTTAGGGTGGTTACGGGTTTGGCCTGATGTCCAACCTGCATGAGTGTCTAAAGATTGAAGCACGCTAGACGGGAAGAGGATCGGTGGCCAAGGATATCCATAGATTGGATTCCATTGTTTGCGATGCAAACGGAATAGCAGCCAGCAATTCGAACACATGAATAGGGTAACGGAATTCATATATGCAAGGTATTCGTACCCCACTTAAAATCGGTCATCGAAGATGACAAGGGGGAGGTTGGTCTAAATAAATACGTTCCTTTGTACAGTTCCCACGAGGTATTATTATTTCGGGAATGATGCACCCAACCGTTTTTCGAAGTCAGCCAAAGTTGAGGCACGCGCAAAGGTTACTCGACGGATGTTCCGTAGCCAGTATGTACAAAATAGTGAAGATTCAGGCCAAACGAAAAGTGTCGATTCCATCTTGCCAAATTTAGTGGATAGACTCCCAAGCTCGTGTTGCATCTGAGGTTCAACCAACGGAGCACTTGTGACTAGGTTTACGGAGAATCCGATATGCGAAGCGTGTCACGTTATCTTTGATGCATGCAGCTAAGAGGAGGGTTTAAGGCTTTCATAATTTGCGGTAACGACAAAGATACAGAGTTGAATTGAATATCCTTCTAAGAGTCAAAACAAAGTCTGCGCAATGGTCGAAATCAGTTATTTGTAATGCAAAGCATCTCTTATCCTGTTTATAAGTGAGGGGCGCTATTTGGGCGCGACGATTTCACATTGGTTAATTTCTATTTGTTGCTTCTTGCACGGTCTGCATGTGTTCAATGATCCGTACGTTTTACTCGCTTCAATGGACCACTACTCCGTCTGTATTACCCGCCTTGTGTCATGCCTGTCCAAGCGACCAAAGACAGTAATATATTAAAACACACGCACATTAAACTCGACGTACACTCATCGAGGAGTCTCTGCGCAACACTAATTACTACACGCTATTCAACAACCCACTGATGCGGTCGATTTGATTGGTGACAAAAGGTTTGCAAAGGATTTACCAAGCTCAACCAAAAGTTCGGTCGCCACTAGAGCAAACTGAACTGCCTATTTTCGCTTCTGTTGCCAGTGTTA